CTGGCACCCAGAAACCCTGAGCAGATGCCTGTGGGTGCACAGAGCCGTGGGCAACGCGTGATCTCCTCTGCCTCCCAGGCACAAGCTCCCGTGTGGCACCTTATAGTTGACTGCTTTCCACAGAAGCCCTGAGGAGAGGATCCAAACCTCCCACTCCATCAGTGGGGAACTGGGGCTTAGGGAGCATGACATCGGGTCACTCAGAACAGCTTTGGGGGTGGGGGACTGCCGCTGGCTCCATTCCTGCTGTGCTCTGGTGCTCCCCACTTTCCAGCACATCCCTCTGCCCTTCGTCCACTCCCAAATCTATTGATGTGTCTCCCCCCCACTCCCTGCCCTCCATCTCAGCAGTGGGGACTATAGGCCTGAGCATGTGTGAGGAGGAGGTCAGGCTTCTCTCAGGCCAGGATCTGTACACAACTTCGTGTGTGTGTGCACATGCGTGTGCACTAGGGATTGAATCAAGGGTTCACACTGAGCAACATTCCCATCCCTATCTCCCCCCCCTTTTTTAGGGGGAGGTCTTAGACAAGATCTCGCTATTCAGTTCAGGCTGGCCTTGAGTTCACTTTTTAGTCCAGGCTGGTCTGGAACTCAAAATGATCCTCCTGCCTTGGCCTCACTAGAGTGCTGGGATTACAGGCATGGCCCCCACACTCAGCTTATCCTCCCCTTTTAACATTTTGAGACAGAGTCTTGGGAAGTCATCACATTGCCCAGGTTAGGCTCGAACTTGTGCTCCATCTGCCTCCCAGAGTGCTGGGGTTATAGGCATGATGCTCCACACCCACTCTTTTCTTCCCTTCCCCTCGCCATCTTCCTTCTCCTTCATTCTTTCTCTCCCTCCTCTTTCTCCTTAATGATGCTTGGGATCAAACTCAGGGAGTCATACCTGCTAGGCAGGTGCTCTACTGCTGTTTACAACTCCCCCCCACCCCTGCAGCCCAGTTTAAAACTGTTCTGGTTCTGGATTTTTCCCTCCCCTGGAACTGGGGATTGAACTCAGGTCCTTGCACTTGCCAGGGAAGCGCTTATTCCACTGAGCCATCTCTCCGGCCCCTGATTCTTGATTTTTTAAAAAAAATTTTATTGGGGCTGGTGAGATGGCTCAGTGGTCTAAAGCACCTACTTAGAGCAGGCTTGGCAAAGCACAGGGACCACGGTTCAATCCCCCAGCACCACATGCCAGCCAGCCCCGCCCCCTGGTGGGCTGAGCTGGCCACACACACAGAAATAAAATAAATTAAAAAAAAAATTTATTTATGTGTGTGTGTGTGTGGCCAGCTCAGCCCACCAGGGGGCGGGGCTGGCTGGCATGTGGTGCTGGGGGATTGAACCGCAGTCCCTGTGCTTTGCTAAGCTTGTTCTAAATAGGTGCTTTAGACCACTGAGCCATCTCACCAGCCCCTGATTCTGGATTTTGATAGTGATTGGTCTGACTGAGTAATGCTCTCTGTATGGAGTCCAGGGTGACTTTGAACTCACTGTGTAGCTGGGGCTGGTCCCAAATTTGTGGTGATCCTCCTGCCTCAGCCTCCTAGGAGTGCTGGGAGTACAGGTGTGTGCCACCGTACCCAGCTCTGATAATGATTTAGAAACAGAATCTGGTGGGCTGGTGAGATAGACTCAGCAGCCTAAAGTGCCTCCTTAGGCAAGCCTAGGGACCACAGTTCTATCCTCAACACTACATGCTGTGCTAGTCTTGCCCCCAGGGCAGGCTGAGCCAGCCAGCTAGGCAGCCAGGCAGCTAGCCAGCAAGCAAGCAAATCTCCTTAACTATCCTGGGTTCAGTTTTTTTGTTTTGGTTTTTTTTGGTACCTGGAATTGAACTCCCTAGCACTTGCCAGGCAAGTACTTATGCTGCTGAGCTATCTCCCTGGTTCTAGGTTTCTAGGTTCAGTTCTTTTTCTTTTTTTAAAATGTATTTAGTACAGAGTCTATAGGGTCTCACTACACAGATTGGACTCGTAATGATCATCCTGTTTTCAGCCTCTCAAGAGCTGCGATTACAGGCCTGCACCACCATGCCCAGTATCATTGGCTGTCTCAGCATGCCCTGGGGCAGAGCCAGCATGGCATACCAGGGATTGAACCCTGGTCCCTGCGTCTGCCTAAGCAGGCACTTTAATCTGCTGAGCTATCTGGCCGGCCCCTTGGGTTCAGTTCTTACTGTGGGGCTTTCAGCAGGAAAGAGGCACACCAAAGGGTTTGCCAAAGAGGCCCCATAAGAGGACTGTTCACAGGCTTGAGTGGGAACGGAGGAGCACCTTGCTGCATGCAGCAGTGGCATGAGGGAGTTCCTTGTGTCTAGGGACAAGGGAAGATAGCTTTGTTAGTGAACCAGACAAGAGCTGCACCCATGGGTGCGCACACTCCGTAGGAGCTGTGGTTCTCAGTCAAGGATGATGGTAACAAAATCACAGAGGGAGGGAGGCTTGATAAACATCCTGGTCTCTCTCTCTCTCTCTCTCTCTCTCTCTCTCTCTCTCTCTCTCTCTCTTTGATCTCCTGCCATGTCTCCTGTTATACAGACATGACCACCTGAAGCCAGAAGCCTAGGGGGCCTCCAATCGTCAGAGGAGTCAGCCCCAGGACTCGGCAGGCAGGGCAGCAGGCAGCCAGCAAGAATGGAGGCAAGGCAAAAAGTAGCCAGCCTCTGGCTGTCCTCCTCCTCCCAGACTTGGCTCTGTGGAGAGGCTGACAGAGGCAGCGCTTGTCTTACAAAGCATGATCTGTGACTGGCTCAGCCTTCCAGACCCAGCTGCCTCTATGCAGGAGGGAGGCTGCCCTGGTCCTGGGGTTCACTCTCCCAGCTGACCTCGGGCCGCACAGCGCAGCACTCACATCCTTCCCACAGGCTCAGCCCCCAGGAGATGGTTCTAGCCTCCTCTCGTGGTGAGCTGCTGGCAGGCCTGGGCCAAATAAGGCCATTTGCCCTCACACAGGCCTGGCACAGACCCAGACCTGGGCTGTGCCAAGTGAACCAATCTCTGTGACATGGCCCCCTTACCTCACTCTGCCTGGGTGGAGGCAAACTGCCCCGTGTGTATCTGTCTTCTGGAGTTGACAATGAGGCCGAAGTACAGCAGGCATTGGGTGTTGCCCAAGTTGGCCTGAAGGTAGCACCAACCTTCATCCAACAAAATCTCCAACTGCCGTACATACCAGGCCCTGTGCTGGTCCCTAGGGACACAGCAGAAAGAAGGCACACCACGTTCCTGCGTGCATGGGGCTTCTGTTCTGGTGGGTGAAGCAGAGAAGGAAGGAATCAGACCTAAACCCTGCCACTGTAGGACGCTGTCACTGTGATAAGGCTCACACAGATTAAAGAGGGTGATGGGATGAACAGTCGACCAGAAGACATACTGGGGGCATTCCTGGGGGAGTAAGGGTGTCAGCCTAAACAGAATTCGGGAAGGGAACAGTTGAGGGATTCAGCTTTGGGGAGCCCCAGGGCCAGCGCCTGAGCAGGGGTTGCAGGGGAAGGGATGGCTCTTCTTATTGCTGCCCTTGCCACCTGTTGCCTAGCACCCTCAGCAAACAGCACCTCTGGCAGGCCTCGCCTTGCTCCCCTCTGACTGGCAGCAGCTGTCAAACAACCAAGCGGCAGCAGAGTTGCCAACCTCCTCCCCTGGAATGTTTTAGGGGTAAGTCAGAAAATGACCAGCAGCCTCTAAAACCGGAGTTTTTCCCATGAGGACCTTACAAGGGTATATGAGGCTGCTCTGGGTGTTAATTTTCCACCCCCTTGCTTGAGAGAGAGAGAGAGAGAGAGAGAGAGAGAGAGAGAGAAATACACAGCCACAGGCGGCACACTCAATAGTGCATGAATGAACACGCCCACAGCCCTAGTGTCCTAGCTGCATGCTGAGGACATTTCACACATCCGCCTGGGGGCAGCCCTCCCCCCCCGCAGTCACTGCAATCACACACAGCACAGTTACAACCACACAGGACCATGAGCAAGCCCCTCCCCCCCCCCTTCCCAGAGGGCACCCGGCAGTGGGTAGGATCACCACACACATCATCCTGTGACCATACATCCATAGGCCCACATCCATGTGCCCCATATCATGGCATTCGCACAACCCCATAACCTCCCACTCCACACACCACCCACGAAACCGTGATCACGGCACAGAAGCCCACACTCAGTACAGTTGCGTGTTCCCCTACCCTCACCCAGAGGAGTTCAAGGCCTCTGATTAAACACAGGTCCCCGGCCCCCAGGCTTGTGGTAGTGCGCATCGTTGTCACTTCAGTCCCTCCCCAGACACAGGACAAGGGGAAAAAAGGAATCAGAAGGGTGGGGGGCAGGTCTGGGAAGAGGCCCGGGGGCCACTTACTTGGGGGTAAAGACTGGCGCCGAGTCTGACTGTGACACTTGCGGGCTGAGGACTTGAGGAGGGGATGGTTCCACCTTAAAGTTGGCAGAAGCCGGCTGAACAGGGGTGACAGGTGGAGCAGGAAACTTCAGAGGTAGACAAGGACTCCACCGCTCAGCCTTCACCCTTGGTGACCTCCTCAGTCCTTCACTAGACCCAGCCTCAAGCCCAGGTCCCCAGTCCTTGGTCCCTCGCTGTCCCCCGAGGACGCACAGGATGTGGCCTTGTTACCTCCTGCAGCAGGGTTACCCCACCCCAGCCGACAGCTGTGGGACATAGGGCGGCTCCCAGCCCTTGAGCGAGGGGCACTGGGTGCCAGTGGGGCTCCTTCCCAAGCCTCGCTCCCCCACGGTGGAGTGGGGAAACTGCTCCTGGGTCCGCTGAGTCTCTGTGGTCCCCTGACCTGCCTCGAAGCCGGGACCGAAGAAGGCGAGGCAGAAGGTTCGGGATGACTCCGGGCAGCGCGGTGTTGGGGACGAGCCCTCCGCTCACGCCCCTCCGAGCCAGCCTCTCCCCGCCCCCCGCCAGATCCCCCCCTCCCCCTCCGCGGCGGCCAGAGTTCTGGCCAAGTGGGCGCGCCCGCTCGCCGGGGCCGGGATCCGGTGTCGACTGCAGCTGGCAGTGCGCGGGTGCGGGCGCGGCGGCCAGCAGGCCCGGCTATTAATAACGCGCCCGCCGAGCCCGGGTCGCGCAGCCATGGCCACCCCGGAGACCGGGAGCAGCGGGGACGGCAGTGCCCAGGCCTCGAGGTAGGAGCGAGCGTCCAGGGCCCGCGTTGCCTCCCCTTTGGGGAGGGGGCGCCAGGCAGTTCCCTCCCTCCACCCTCAGCCCCCGTTGCCTGGCTGGGGGTGATGATCCAGCCCGGGTGGGACTGGAACGCAAACTCTCATGGAAGGGAGGTTGGGGAGCCCTGGCCGGGGTCAAGGCACCTCCGCTGACAGCTGACGGTGGAAGGGTGGGTGGCTTTTTATAATACCCTTCCCCCTCCTACGGACTGCAGGAGTTAACCCTTCCAGACTGTCAGCTATTGAGAATCCACTTGGCCTAGCTGACCAAAGAATGTCCTTGTTTCTTTTATTCCTCACTCCGTGTCTAGTGGGGATGCGGTAACCAGTTGTGAATTTGCTGCATGGAAAGCACTTGGTGCAAGGCTGGACATTGGCCAGCTTGAAGTTAAGAGTCTGCTCAGGCATCCTGTCCTCTCTTGTTAGGCCTGCGATGGAAGCTGGAAGCAAGGGAGGGTCTACTGCCTCAGTCTATGAAGGGGGCCCTGGCTGGGGCCAAGAGGACAGGCCCACCCCATCTCTCGGTGCTGTCAGTTTACTACTGGGTAGGGGGAAAGGGCTCGAGGAGAGTGGGGAGTAGTCCTAGACTTCCCACTGTACCAAGATGTTGAAGATGCCAGTGCACACCTGCTGACACGAGGAGACACAGTCTGACACATACATGTGCCTGTACTGCTGTACACACATACAGCTATATGAAGAATCAGACACGCAGACTCTCACCTGCACTGTGTCACACGCATTCCCAGCCCCAGCCCTAGCAGTGTTAGGGAGCTGCTGGAATTCTCTGGGATGGCAGTGACAGAGGCAGGTTGCCCAGGTGCAAGGAAGCCTGAGGTCAGGGGCCCCAGTGGAGCTCCCTGGCCCCCCTCCCTTTTGGATTCCTATTATTGGATCTACTTCCCCAGCAGTGAGAAGTAGCGGTGTGAGGGCAGTGTCTGGCACCCTGGGTAGGGTGGCAGCATAGCCCGAAAGTCAGGAGGCCTGGACTCTCCCTCCAGATATTTTGTTTTTCTCCCTCTAGTTTTTTCTCTTGACCTTGGGCAAGTTCTCTCTCTGGAGCTGTTTCTTTCTGCCTGTCTGCCTTCCAAGTGCCCCACCCTTAGGATAGACAAGCGAACTGTATTTGTCATTAGCATTCACTGTCAGCAGGATGGGCACATGCATTTCTGTAATGCAGAGCCAGAAGGGCAAAAATGAGTGGCAGAGTGAGGACACAGGTGGGCCTTGTTTAGGAAGTACTTCACACAGGAGATGGAGTTTGACCAGGGCTTGAAGGATGAATAAAAATTTCTTAAGAAATTTTGGTATTTTTGTATGTATGTATTTATTCATTGCAGTGCTAGGGATTAAATCTAATGCCTCATGCAGAGGCTGAGGCAGGATTGCCACGAGTTCCAGGCCCAACTGGACTACACAGTGATGACCTGTCTCAAGAAACAAAAA